TATATATAATGTTCCTTTATTTATTTTTCATGTACTAGGTTAAAATGCTTTATCCTTAACTACCATTAAACAGTATACTAGAATTGTTAGAATGTGCTAATTCAATAATAATGTCCTAAAACATACAAATAAAAGCTTAAAGTGTTCTGTGTTCTGGGAAACAAGGATTAATCTGAATAAATTTAAGCAGCATTTTGTTATATATGGTACTTCTCCAAGTCTTTGATATGATAGGCATGTTGAAAATCTCTGTAAGAGGGAAAAATAATGGGTGATGCTTCCCACATTGATTTGCCCTTTACAAGAGCACACCTATTAACATCCACCCCAACAGCATTCTTCCAACATACTCTGGGAAATGCTGAGCTAACTCAATTGCTGCTCAATTCTATCAGCTGGACAGTGCTGGGTAGAAACCATGTTTTCAACTGGGTTGAGGAAATAAATTTGCTCTGTTTTAAGACAACATCAATTTGGTAGATGCTTTTAACAGGATAGGAGAAAAAACTGTATATTAAATGTGTTCATAATGTTTAAGATCCATCTGGGTTTCTGAAACTGGAAAATGCTGAAAGGGGGGGAGGGAGGGGAGAGGAGGGGAGGGGAGGGGAGGGGAACATGATTTTTAGATTTGAGCTACTGCACTATTATCTAGGATTTTTGTTTAAAAGCACCCTCTAGGAAAGTTGGAGTCTGGTTCCAGGAATGGGCCTTGACTCTCTAACCCAGGATTGAGAGTCCTGATATCCAAAGAGAAATTATGTATTCAAATGTAATGATTGTCTCACAGCAGATTTATTAAGGGGAGCAAAAGATATCAGAGGGTCATTGCTAAGAAAACCAAACAATAGTGATAAGGAAAACAGTTTTTCTCACACTGGAAAAATCCCCACAGTAAAAAGTAGGGAACACCCAAAATATACACATCAAGTTATGGGAAGGAATTTTAAACAGAAATGTTCCCTACTTATGATAAGTGGGAGAAGCATTTAAACAAGCTTCTAAATCCGAAGAATTACAACCCAAAGACTCTTCTTTACCAAGCACTGATTACTGCAGGAAGGCAGGTTTAGCCTTTCAGTTTTATCTACTAAAACACTAAGTGGCACACTTGAGTCTTTGAATAGATTTCTGATTTACTGATAGGTTTCTCTAGTGCTAATCACTTTAACACTAAAACAAAGCACAAATGGAAAGCTGAGATAAAGCATGACAGTCTGCTAAGATTCCATTTGGCATAGCAACACAAGAACCAAAGAGCTGACTGACCTTTTCAGATGCCTCATGTGTTTGGGTGCTACCTGACATAAATTTTATTCCTTCCTTTGGATGTTATCTCAGGCTTCTTCCCAATTCAAGCAGGCTCCTGAAGTCTCTAATGCAAAGAAGTTAAAGTTCAAGGCCACAATCTAGGTCACAGCAAGTCATGGTAAACTCGCAGCATGGTCAGGAAGACAAGAAGTTAAGATTGGGTTGGATCCAAATAATGCTTAATTGTAATGTAATTCACTCGTGGTTCTCCTGGATACTACCCAGCTGCCCCTGAAAGCAGACTTTCCACCCCTTGGAGGGTAGGACAGTGTCTCAGCCACTGCCAATGCCACCATTCTCCAGAAGGAATGGAAAACTACTAGGAGACAACTTGTTATGTGGGGTCCTTCACATGCCTTATCCCTTGGAAAGGTGTCCACTCAGAGAAGACATCACTGAAATTACTTTTCAAATTTGCTTTTAAGTGATTTTAACTGTCCTACACCTTTATGATTCAAGCTGTTAGATCCATATGCAACCTCCTTTGCACAAGTATTCAAGAAACCCAAGAAAGGAAAGTTTAGTTTTTGGATCTAGATAGGTGCAAGATAGATAGATAGATAGAATGAAAAGAAGAATCTTTTTGTAAAATTCACTTATTAAAAGAGCAATCAGAATATTCAAAACTGGAAAACACATGCTGGAAAATATAATGCTTAAGGCAACTTCCCAAGACACTTGTAAGAAATTCTGTCTCTGGGCTGGAGAGATGGCTCAGTGGTCTAAAGCACCTACTTAGAACAAGCTTAGCAAAGCATCAGGGACCGTGGTTCAATCCCCCAGCACCACATGCCAGCCAGCCCCGCCCCCTGGTGGGCTGAGCTGGCCACACACACCTCTCTCTCTCTCTCTCTCTCTCTCTCTCTCTCTCTCTCTCTCAAATAAATAAATAAATAAAAATATAAATAAATAAATATAAAAAAAAGAAATTCTGTCTCTGTATAGTAAGTACTAACACTGGCATTTCAGAATAAACCTCACTTTTCCCCTCTCATCATAGAGATTAGTAATTAGATAGGCCTGATCTCAGGACTAGCAGCTTTAGAATCATCTGAAACTGGTTAGAAATGTAAATTGTTGGTCCTACTTTCTAAACTTAGACAATCATAGTCCCTGAGAGGAGACCCCAACAGTCTGGGCCTTAACAAGTTCTCCAGGAGATTTGAGGCTGAAGTTGAGAATTACTGCCCAAGAATCTAGGAAGATGCACACCTGGGGTGACTTAGGAGCCTGACTCAACTCCTATTGATGATGACAAGACAATTTCTCCTATCTTTGCCTCTGACTGGCATTGACTTTTCCTCTCAAAGACTAATTTCAGCAGTGAGAGCTTTGAGTCCTTAGTTGAAGGACACCATGACACGTCCACTCAGAGTTCCACCCTCGGGCTGGCTAGCTTCTTCATCAATCTTGTATCTCAAGCCAAAGTTTTGCTGACTGCCGATGTGACAGTGCTGGGGCCCAGGACTGCTGATGTTGATAAGGCAATGGAGGTGGTCTTCTAATCTATACCACACTGGCTCCCTCAGAGAGATATGAGAACTGAAATTCCAGCTCTTCATCAAGTCAAAAGGGAGAAGGTTCAGTGGAAAACAGGGAGGACAGGGCAGTAAATAGCTACTTTCAAAGAGCTTAAGGTAGTAAATTTCCCAGTACTCATCCAGGAAAAGACTCAGATGTTTTGTTATAATTAAGAATCAGTTATTTCCCAAAAATGAGTAAAAAATGTAGAGATAATCACTAAGGTGTGAATGGTGCTTTGAAGTTTTCTCAGTAGTTTTCATTGCATTTATCCAAGACTCACAACAACTCTGTAATGGAGGGGCACAGATCATGACTAACCCATTCAACAGAAGAGAAAACTGATGTTGAAAGGGGCTAACCATGTGTTTATCAGTTTGTTAATCAGCTAAAAAGCTGAAACCTGACCTTTCTAGACTTCTATGACTTTGGGACATGTGTAATTTATTCAGTACCTGAAGCCTGAATCTAAGAATCTGTCAAAAGTGGATAAAGCCTAGAGGAAAAAAAAAAAAAAAAAAAAAAAGGTGGGCTCCTAAAAGACAGCGCTTGCGCAAAGTGTAAATGCTCCTTTAAGAACTTAACACACAAACTCAGCAGCCAAGGTGTTCAGCCAAAAAAGGGGGAAAGAGAGGCAGGGAGGCATATTTCTAGCCTGCATAATCATTTCTGGACAGAGTCCCACTATCAGCCTCCCTCGGAGGCAAGCAGCAGCTCCTGGCCTGGGCTGACACTGCTCCACCCCACCTTACCCCACTCCCATTGCAACCCCTAATCTCATCCCCACCCCCATCTCTGGTTTTGTGACAGCGCAGCTCTGTGCAGGCAAAACCCAAAACTCAAAACAAGAAGCAAAAAAAGTGGAGCCTGGAGAAACCCATAAGCATCTTCCACACCCTCGCAGTCAGCACAGTGCCTCGCAGTTCAGAGCCCAGGGGTGGCCCATAATGCTAACTTAGGACAAGATAAAACGAGAGAAAGTGTCTTGTGGGCCTGCAATCACTATTCTTTCCCACCTAGTCTCTGAGGAAACAATAACTGAGGGGGGAAGAAGGCTCCTTATTAAGTCCTGCGCCAGAAGCAAAGGCAGATACCCCTTAAGCACCTCTACTAAGGAACAGTACGCTAATCTGAACACTTCACCTGACCCTCCAGGCTATGACCTGAGCGACAGTGAGCGGCGTGGGGTGTAATCGACCTGAGAAAGGCAGGAGGGAAAATCGGGCCACGCACTACTCCAGCCAAGATGCCCGCCCGGTGTGTGAGGCTCCCTTTCGAGTGCACGGCAGAAGCGAATTCGGAACCCGGCGCCCTTGGCAGCGCCTGAGGTTGGGGAGGAGGCAACACCCAGTGCTAAACGTGCCAGGGGCAGGGAGCTGTGCCCGCCGAGCGGCCCGCCGAAGAGCCCGCCTCAGTTGGGGCCGCAATGATTTTCCCGGAAGATGTAAGGAATCAAAAAGATAAGGGACGATTCAGGGATTTCGGCAGGGGATGGAAGAGCGCAGCGCAGGGGCGCAGCGACCCACGGAGGTCCCCACCGGGCAAGCTTTCCGGGGAACCCGCGGGGACCACAGAGCCACAGAGGCACTGCCAGGAGACGAGCTCCATCCTCAACTTTTCTGCCCAATCTGGCCCGCGCACGGTCCCAGGCTTAGACACAATTAGGACCGAGTCTCTTCTGCGCGCACGCAGCAGCCCCTCTCCCGCCGCCCGCCAACTCGCAGGCAGCGCCCCGAGCGCCCGCCCGCGGCCCCCGCCCCGCAGCCCAGCCCCTGCCCCGCCGGCCGCGCGGACTGAGCGCCGGGGCTCCACAGCTGCCGCGGCTGCGACTGCATCCTCGGTCCTCCCGGCCTCCCCCACCCCTTCGGCTCCCAGCCCTCGGGCCCTACCGTGCAGCCGGACGGGCGGCCCGGCGGTGCCAGCGCGTGGCGCGCGTCCCAGCGGGTGAGGCTCCTCCCCGGGGGCTGCCCCGCGCGGGGCTCCGGGCTCCGGACAGGGGTGGGCTGCCGGGCGCCGGCTAGCTGCTGCTCGCGGCTCGCGCGCGGGCTCTTGCTGCGCGCGCGAAGAGGGAGGGGAAAACTCCCGGCAACTCCAACTCAGGCGCAGGAGCTCAGGCTGCAGCCGCGCCGCCCTCCCGCCCGCCAGCCGCGGAGTGCTAGCGCCTGCGAGGCCAACCTGCCCCCGCCGCCGCCTCTGAGCATGCCCAGTGCCGCCGCGGGAGAGCCCGCGCTCCAGGCTGGGGCAGAGACCAGCGCCCGGGCACAGCAGAGCCCCAGCGCGGGAAGCAAGGCAGAGTAGAGCCAGGTTAGAAGAGAGGCCTCTGAGCAAAGGACTGGGAGAAACTGGTCTTGTGGAAGGCTTGTGAGTTTCAGGGGCTGTGGGAAGTTTGCAGGCTAGACAAGTAGGGTGCATCTGCCTCTGCACAAGACTATTTGAAAGGACAACCAGGAACCATTTGCTCTCCAAGAACGAAAGAGTAGATCCAGCAGATGGACTTTGATCCAGTCCACTCCCTCCTTCATGCTTAAGGTGGCAAGCTGATGAAGCCTGGTAGATCCTGAAAGCCCAACGGGCAGGCGGAGGCCACCGCTTGCTAGCTGGGACAGCTCTGAAGCACTGCTGCTCCTTGGCGCTAAGCGCCCACTGCTGCCATGCGAGATTTCAGACGTGATTTTTGCGGGATTTTCTTGTTTTTCGAGAAATGACTGAGATTTAGATTTTCTGTTTTTGGTGTAAAATATCCTGGCTAATAAATCTCCATAACCAATTCAATTACTCTGGACCTTCCCCGTTCAGCCAAAGGGAGACAAGAAGCTGCGTCCTTTTCTTGAAAAGGTGCTGAGTGCCCACTGTAGTTTAGAAAGGCCCTGGAAAGGATCCAAGGTGATTCGGACTATCTTCAAAGTACTAGGGGAAATAGGCTGTCCTCACAGAAGTGAGCTACTGAGCAACGTCGGAGCATGCCAAGAAAAGAGAGGCAGCCAATGTAGAAAGGGGTTATGAGAACTAAGTTTGGAGAAACACTGTCAAAGTAACCGATGGGGAAGTCGTTGCAACACAAGTAACAGAGCTTTTTAGAGGTATTTTAGAATATGGAACAGAATGAAACAACAATAACTCTAATTCTGTCTTTATTTGAAACTTTGTCTTTATATTTATTATGTGTTTTGTGCTAATCTTGTTTTTGTATTTAAAATATTATACTACAATGTTAATTTTCATTGCCAAGTTCTTTGGCAAACCTTAGATTGTGAGTCTTTGCTCACCCCATGCTGACCCTGCTTGGTTAGAGTGAAAGTAACAAGAATTGGCACACTGAACTAGGAAGAGGACCTAAGGGTGGATGGAGCTGAGACGTAGGGCCTGATTGCCGGCATTGTCCTTTATTTTGTAGGCTGTCCATGGCCAACTGAGATGCCCAGGGAGAACGGTCTAATCCAAAGTGGACTCTGGAAAAGTCAGCCATGCAGTAGGGCTAGGAAGTTAGTTTGGAAGTGAAGAATGGAAGAAATGGGGAGAGCTAAGGATGTAAGCTATTTCATGAAAATGGGAGGGTTTTCCCTGATAAAATCATGTGTTCTCTGCCTATTTTGGGGGAGACACGTATTGTAGGGATTTGTTGGTCTCAGTGTGATCATTGTACCTCGGTAGAAATGGCAGAAGGAATGAAAAAAAGATAGACAAGAAGACAAGAGCTGGGTTAGGTGGTAGTCTGTCTGTCTGGTTTGGTGAGATGACCCCTGTCCTAAGCAATAGTATGGATGTTTATACCTTTACAAAGCTACATGTGACACTAATAGTGACATTAACCAGTCAGGATGCTTATCTCAAGACTGAGGTAGCTTGACTGCTTTAGGCACTGAGGCCTAGTCCAGCTTTTTTGCATTTGACCAATTTTCCAGTTTCCATGGCTCCCAACAACGTATGAGACTAGGGTCATACCAACAGGTAAAGCCACACATGCTGGTCTAACCTCAGGCAGTTCCCAACTCGGTTCAGAGGTAGTCAAGTGATTCTACCTCCAAGAGAATTTTTCATCTGAAAAATTGAAAAGAATTCTCACAGTATTTACATGAAGACTTAGAGAAACTGTATGTTGAAGAGTTTTAGAGTGTTAAAAATGTAAGCAAATAGAAATAATTTTAATTATTTCATCGTCTATATAAAATATGAATTCAAGTTAGATTGTCCTGTGATTTTATAAAAGTTGTCTTAGATATCAAGTTTAATGAGTATTTCAGGCTCTCGTTGTGTGTTTGAATACTGGTTATAAAACTTTGGAAGGCTGAGGAGATAGCTCAGCTGTGTAAGCACGTGCTTGGCAAGTGCAAAGATCTGTGGTACCATGTGCCATGCTGTTCCTGGAACCCCAGGCACACTGTGCGGGCCACAAAAACTGGGCTTGGTGGCACACACTTGTAATCCCAGTGCAGGGAAGACTGGGACAGGAAGATCACTAGGAGTCTGAGCTGTGTAGCAAGACGCTGTACCAAATAAATAAATAAGTAAATACAAACAAACTTGGAAATCAGATTTTGAGTAATTCAACAATTTTGTCAGTTTTGGCATTCCTGCACTACACCAGTTCCTAAGCCAACAATCCACTCTTTCCTTACCACTTTCCCTTTAGCATTGTCCCTCTGACTTTTGTTTCTTCAGCACTGAAGATCTAGTCAAGAGCAGTCTGTCATCCATGTGGAGTACCCTCTTACTCACATACATGTCATCTGTGTGGTGTGTGCCTCAGCCAACATCCTGTGACCCACCTCATGCTATTCTGTGAATGATTCTCCCTGCAGATGAGCTGACCAGCACTATGTTCATGCAGAACAGACTGCCATTTATCTATGGGAAGCATTTTAAGCCTGAAGAACTCTATTCTGAAAGAAAAAAAATGCTTGGATGTTTACACAAGGAGCCTTCCAGAAGTTAGAGAAAGGAGGAAGTACCTTGCCTAGGACCTATCACATAACATGTAGTTACAAATATTTGCAGAATAAATATCAATTTCCATCATCAAAACCCTCTGTGTCTCTGTTCTGCCTCCCACAGTTCCTAAGAATTATTATTTTTAAAAATCACAATAATGGTAAGGTCACAGAAAGAACAAGAACAGGATGTAAACATTTATACAGGGAGGGGTTCTGTGCTTTCATAAGTAAAACATTTGTCTGCTTACATCTTTTAATGATTTTTTTATAAGGCACAGAGCTTCAGTCATGCTCAGCATGTACTATACGATCAAGCTACATGTCTCGTCCTCTATATCTGCTTAGATTTTAAATTAAACATATTTTAAAATATTTATTAATAAGTAAGACATGATATTAAAGAAAAATGTAGTATAAAAGAACTTAGTAAGAAAAAAGCCAGTTTCTCCTTCAAGAATTATTATGGTTGCCTAGTTTTTTCATATAACTACTGAAATAACCTAGGCATAAGGCCATAAGTATAGTTTTTTGTTGGTGCTGGTGGTGTTTGTGGTGTTTGTTTGTTTTGGTACCTGGGATCTTGAGCTTACCAGGCAGGCCATTATGCTGTTGAACTATCTCACTGCCCTAGCATAGTTCTTTTTTAACCTTTAAAATCTAATAATGAAAGAACTGAAAAGGATCATGTAGTTCATCTAGATGACAAGATAGAGACTTTTAAATTGTTATTGGGGAAAATACAGAAGTGGTCTTTTCTTGTAGCCTAAGTAAACTTAAGCTATATGATTACAAGACCACATGGCAAAACCTTCTTGTAGGTATTAAATAATGCAAAAAATGCATTCATGTACAATTTTTCTGAAGCCCACGGTGCACACTGTAGACCTCAACCTAAGATATCCTTCTATTGCGATGTCATAGGTAGCCTAGAGCTCTCGAGAGAACTACTGTCTAAATGACAAAGGGAATAAATTGGCATGAACATGAGGAGTTTGATCCTGGCTTATAACAGAACTCTTTTTAACAGTATCACTTGTAACATCATCAATTGTAATATGTCTTCAAGACTAGTAGAGACTATATTTTTGTAATCCTGCTATTACTCAGCATAGCTAGTAGCTTTTCAAATTCTTCATCCTGGTAATGATTTAACCCAAGGAACTCATCAACTGATAAACTCTTGGGGTACCTATATCAAACTGCCATTTTTGTTCCTCTTAGTAATTTGGATGTTAAGAATTTCATATGGTTCAATTTGATGGTATTACTCCAAATTAACTATTGTTTTTATTGACCTAGGAGAGTTTTACTTTTACCTTGCTTGGAATACACTTAATTTTCCTAAAAGAGTTGTGTCACTAAGTTATAAGAAACCTATTAAATGACTGAAGTTTATTATGGTACCAGGCTCATACCAGGTCCTACAAGCTGAGGTAATTTTATTCAGTAGAGAGAAGAAGAAATTTCTATTCCTCTCTTGGTGAGAACAGCACCAACCTTGGTTGGTGTTGAAATAATGTCAGGCTCTTTCTTTGCACCCTATGTCCCCAGAATTCTTCTGAAACTTTTTTCTATGCACTGACAATCCTCATTCTGGTTTTAGTTTTCATATCTCACCCAGTTTGTACATTTACTCCCAGTTTTCAAGTCAACATTTCTTTAGTATACTGCAAATAACTGAGTAAAATAAAAAGATTAAACTAAGTTATGTTCATGTGTGGAAGACCATCAGCTCTTTCAAAGACATAAACTCAAAGACTATTTTGTGCCCTCAAAGGACCAGTTTCATAGCACAACTTTAGAGTATGGAAAATGACAAGAAGGCTGGGAATGTAGCTCAGTGGTACAACACTTGCCTAGTATGCAAAAGCTCTATGTCTAGCATCACATATAAGGAGGAAGAGGAAGAGAATGAGAAGGATGAGGAGGAAAAGGAGAAGGAAAAGAAATAGGAGGCAAAAGGGAAAGCAGAGAGAAAAGAGAGAGAACAAAGAGAGAGACAGAGACAGAGAGAGACAGAGACAGAGACAGAGATAAAGAACAAAGGGGAGAGAGAGAGAGAGAGAGAGAGAACAAAGGCAGGAGAATGAATTCTAGTAGTGAGTGCAAGGAGCAACATATTAAGGAAGAGAAATGTTCTATCATTCTTCATTTTATAATTGTTTC